AGGTTAGGTTATTCAGATGAGTTTTCTTAGCACTGGCAACTAAAAGGGGGGGATAAAATGCTAAAAACAAGGGAGAGCATTTAAACATGCACAGTTTAAACATGACATTGCTGATGAGGTAACAGGGATAAGACTCCAAAGGACAGTGAGAAACCAGGGAGATAAAGGCTTTAGCCTGCTGATGTTTGCTGGTACAGACTGAATCAAGCATAAGAGTACAGCTGAGTCTGAGGGAACTACAGAGCCCCAGAAGTACCCAGAGGCCGAAGCCTGGGCCAGCCAATGATAGGGTGGAGTAGTCTAAAAGAGCCCCACCCATATGCCTTTGAGACCCCAAAAGGTTAGTTCCTGAGAGTCAGCTCTCCCACCTCACCCCATTGCCAACGGACTGCAGAGGACTGCCTTGATGTCAAGCGGAGTCAGAAAGAGACCCGCACTTGAGGAAATATAACCCTGGGCTAGTTCTTTGCATAGACTCCGATCAAGATCTGCATTGCAGAAATGAGCCATCACCGAAGAAACGATGCCCTCTGCGCAGGGCCAGCCCAACAGCTCCCCTCAAGTTTCAAAGGAAAAAGTGAACCTTCTCTGGGAGGAAAACAGCCCAGGCCTTGGGGAATTCACAAAAATACATTTTGCAGAGCAAGGAGCAACATGTTGTCACAGATAACCACATGCTGAAAAATCTAAGGACTCCCCCAAAGGACCCTGGGAACTGGAAAAGCGATGCAGTGGAGCCACAGAACACAGAGCAGCATGTGTGGCAAAGGACAGCAGTAGCATTCCTATGGGCCCAGAATGAATTTGCTAAGGAAGAAACTGAGCAAGCAAATTCCACTCCCAACAGACCTGTCAACCCTGAGGGGAAAAAAAAGTGTTTGGAGGCCACACACATCACAATGCCATTACCCAGGGTCAGGAGCCAGAGCACTGTGGTCCACCAGGGACACTTGGCAATGTTTAATGATGGTTTGGGTTACTAAAACTGAGAGGGAAGAATACCAATGACATCTAATGTGTAGAGGCCAGTGACAACGTGCAGAATAGCCCTCCCACGCGAAGACTTATCCAACACGGCAGGAGTCCTGAGGCTGAGAAACCCTGCAGGCACCATTCAAGCACAAGAGATCAAAGAGGCAGTGGGACTCAAGGACACATCTAGGCAGGAGATGTGAATTCCGGCCATCACTGAGGAGTCGGCGGTGTTTACTACCTGGAGACTGGCTGAGCTCACTGTCCAGGGGGACAGTCCAGATGTGGGAGATCGTGAATTCCTGGGCATGCCAAGGTGAACAGGTTAGGACAGAGGAGCGGAGAGAGTGAAGAAGGCCGAGAAGAAGAACCAAGACAGATTGGAAAGAGGTGTCAGAGAAGGGATGAGAGACAGGGCCCCGTAGCAGTGAGAATGTCAACAGACTGAGAGGCCGTCTGATCTCACCGGCAGCGAAGGCCTTAAAAACTGAGACAGTCCCTTGAGAACGTGAACAGCTGCCAGGCACACAGTTAGGCTGAACCAAGGTGTGGCTTTGCCAAACAAGCCAGAGATGATGACGGGGGACATGGGGAGGGGGCATCGTGACTGACTGTGAAATTTAAGCTTGTGACAAAGAGAAAACACGAGATGGGTGAGAGCAGTGTAAAAGTGCAAGAATCAGTGAGTTCGGGTGGAATGGGGGCCGGGATGGTGACCGGAGAAGAGTCATCTGATTGACACTATGGAGCGTTGAAATTATGAGTCTTGGGGAAAAAAATCTGAGTGGCTAAGATAAGGATGAAGAAACCAAGAAGCCAGCCACTTCTATGGGTACTAAAAATCACTGGGGGGCGGGGGGGGGGCAGGGGGGGGACGGAGTAAAGGAAGCCGAATTCTTTCAGAAATAAGGGGAGAAACCATGGACCAGTGGGAAAAGCAGGCAGCGGGGAGAGAGATCACATTTTTACATCTCAAAATACCAAAAACACAAACAAAAAGCCACCAATATGGATGAGCTATACTCTAAAACTGACTGCCATACTATTTTAGGAAATGGCATCGATGTACATCTCCTATGCCTATCCCGATCCAAATTCTTCTGTCGAGGTTGGCTATTGAAACATCAGCATTTGAACTGTACAGGCGAGCAGAGAGATTAATTCTGTCTCCATTCTGAACATTCTCGGATACCTTCACAGAGGTAAACACCAAACTCCCCAGCTTCTGGAACGTAATCCTCTGTGGGCCGTGGGGAGGGGAAGAGAAAACATAAAGACACAGGAAGGCTGTGTTTGCAGAGGGCTCGTCCAGCCCTCTGGGTAAGCTCAGCTCGTGGGTCTGTTAATTAAGGTTTTTAGTTGGGCCCGGCACGGTTTTCTGTGTGGTATTTCCACGGTGAGCCTTTGGCTGGCCCCTGGGGGTGGGTGAAGAACCAGAGAGAGAGCAGAAGGGAGGAAATGGCAGAGAACGAGTTGGGAGGCGAGGTGGCCAGCAGGATTTCACCCATAGCTCGGTTACCTGATACCAAGTCGTAAAGCCAAGTATAACCCAGGGTATGTATTTGTTCACTGAAGCAAACAGAGTCAGGTTTACCCAAGGAACCTTACAGTCTGCTCTTTTCATAGTCCGGATCAGGGAGGCGTTAGCAAGCAACTCCATGTCGCATGTGTGTCCACATCCGGCTGGAAGTTTTACGTTCACTTAGCAATCACACCTCTTTCTTGTTTATTTTTGCTTTTGAAGACAAAGGGTTTTTGTTTTGTTTTGAGACAGGATCTCTCTATGTAGTCCTGGCTGTCCTGGAACTCTCTGTGTAGACCAGGCTCTGTGTAGCCCTCAGAGATCCGCCTGCCTCTGCCTGGCTGAAGATAGAGTATTATGTAGCCCAAGCTATCTGGAACTTGAGATCCTCCTGCCTCAGCCTCGGTCTGGAATTAGAGGCGTGTACCACTGTACCCAGCTACAACCTCTTGTGTCCAGCCAGTGGCCATGAATCTTGAGGACTGATGGTAGCCTCTCTTCGTTTAAGACATGGAGGCCTGGAAATGAGTGAAGCAACAAGCCAACGTCCCTTGAAGAGACCTATTCATCACACAGGCCTTCAAAAAGGCTATGCAAGGGCCCGGAAGGACATCCTTTCGGTTCCAGCTGTCAAAACCCTGCCTGCCCCTCTCATTGTGGGTAGAGTCCATGATAGACAGGAAAGAAGGCTCCATTTGTGGTCAAAACCCTCAGTTAAAAGTGCTGTCTTAGCCGGGCGGTGGTGGCGCACGCCTTTAATCCCAGCACTTGGGAGGCAGAGCCAGGCGGATCTCTGTGAGTTCGAGGCCAGCCTGGTCTCCAAAGCGAGTTCCAGGAGAGGCGCAAAGCTACACAGAGAAACCCTGTCTCGAAAAACCAAAAAAAAAAAAGTGCTGTCTTGAGCAGGGCCTGGTGACAGACACCTTTTGTTCCGGTACCCAGGATGCAGAGGCAGGTGGATCTCTTGAGTTTGAGGCCAGCCTGGTCTACAGAGCTAATTCCAGGACAGGGTTACACAGAGAAACCCTGTCTGAAAAAAAAAAAAGAAAGAAACAACATCTCTTCAGCCTTCTTCAAGGTTCCCAGCTAAGAGAGTCTGAGGAAGCCTGTAATAAGCATTGAGTTACATGAGGGGGTTGGAGAGAGAGATCAGTGGTTAAGGACACTTGGAGAGGCCCTGAGCTCAGTTCCCAGCACTCATATCAATCAGCTCACAACTGCCTGTAACTCCAGCTCCAGGGGATCCGGCACCTCTGGCCTCTCCTCACACTCACATACCCACACACAGATACACAATTATAAATTAATTTTAAAAAAAGAGTCATGTCATGCGGTGGTGGTGCACGCCTTTATTCCCAGCACTTGGGAGGCAGAGGCAGGCAGATCTCTGTGAGTTCAAGGCCAGCCTAGTCTAGAAAGTGAGATCCAAGAGAGCCAAAACTACACAGAGAAACCCTGTCCCCCAAAACCAAACAACAACAAAGTCACCTACAAGAAACCATGTTTATCATCAAGGGCCAGCTAAACCCTACTCTTAACTGGACACTTCCCATCCAGCCTACACTGAGCTCTCCCTTGGCGCTCCCTGCCACACTCTTTATCTCAGCCCTTGATATGTCGTGTCTTGTCTTGTTACTGAAGTATTCTGGACCAGAAGCACTTTCCCTTGGCACAGCCTAGTCCCATAAGCACAGCAGCGCTCGGTTATCAGTGAACTTTTGGTGGAGCTGAGTGGGATTGGACCCTTCCATGATTACAGACTCATTTCTGTAAGAAAATTTTTTTTTTTTTTTTTTTTTTTTTTTTTTTTTTTTTTTTTTTGGTGCTAAGGGTCAAGCAAGTCCAGGGCTTTGTGAGCCGTGAGCTGAGGCTCCACCCCTGAGCTCCACCCCAGCCAAGAGAGAGTTTTAAAGGTTACGCTTCCACTCTAGTAAGGCTGATCAGCAAGAGATAGCACCTTCCGTTTAGAAGAGGCCACCACATCAACTACTTCAAGAGACCAGTGTGTGTGGCCCAATGCCAGATCCAGAGGTTCCCCGGGTGAGGGGGCCTGCCAGAATGTGCCTCTGAGCACTCTCCTTGGGTTAAGACCTCACAGGAAAGATCTCATTGGACACACTTGCAAGGCACAATGCCCTTGCTCCATTTTTAGATTTCTCTGGTTTGAGTGTGTGTGTGTGTGTGTGTGTGTGTGTGTGTGTGTTGGTATGTAGACGTGAATACAGATGCCTGAGGAGGCCAGTGGCACTGGATCCCCTGTAGCTGGAGATCCAGACAGCTGTGAGCTGCTTGACATGGGTGCAGGGAACCGAACTCAGGTCCTCTGGAAGAACAAGTGTTCGGGGCTGTGAGCCATCTTCTGCTTTGTCCGATTTCTATAGGGAATGAGATATCCTAGGGGTTCCCCTTGGGGGTGGGGTTTAGTCTCTGCGTCTAACGAACCTTCTCCCCCCCCCCCCCCCCAGTGTACTATCAGCAGCTTCTCTCTCTGACCGCGGCTCCTTACCTCGTCTTTGTCAACCAGTGTGGTGGGGTTTGGCCGGGGGCGGTCTTTGAACGAGTAGGAGGCCATCTGCTTCTTCAACAGCTCCAGGAAGTCAGGAGGCTTGTAATGCGGGAGGTCGGTTGGGACTGGATCGTTTCTCTGCACTAGCGGTATCCTTTTCCTTCCTTCGTTTTTAAAGTTGTAGGTTGCTTTCACTGGGTTTAATAGGGACTCTTCAATAAAAGTCTTTATGTGGTAAGTGCCAGGTATTGGAGTATTCTGTGGGAAATCGACACCGGTTGTAAGACCACTGTGCAGCACAGCCATTTCTACGTGGCATTTCTTTGTCTCTGAATCTAAGAAAGTTTTTTTTTTTTATCAATTTTAACAAATACTCTTAATTTATTTATTTTATGTGAATCAGTGTTTTTGTTTTGTTTTGTTTAATTTTGGTTTTTGAGACAGGATCTCAGTATGTAGTCCTGGTTGGCCTTGAATTCACAGAAATCTGCCTGCCTCTGCCTCCCAAGTGCTATCAGGGTGTGCATCAGAGTTTCACTCACGTGTGTGTCTGTGCACCACATGCGTGTCCGGTGCACACAGAAGTCAGAATAGGATGTTGGATCCCTGGAATTGAAATTGTAGACAATTTAGAGCTATCACGTAGATGCTGGGAACTGAACCCAGGTCCTCTGCAAGAGCAGCAAGTGCTCTTAACTGCTGAGCAATATCTCCAGGCCCTAACAGACATTCTTAGAAACAGATTTATTTTTATTTTATGCATAAGGGTGTTTTGCCACATTTGTGCAGTGCATACACAAGCCAGAGCAGGGTGTTGACTCCCTCGGAACTGGGGTTAAGGCAATGGTTAGCTGCCATGTGGGTGCTGGGAACTGAACTCAGGTCCTCTGGAAGAGCAGCCAGTGCTCTTCTTAACTGCTGAGCCATGTCTCCAGCCACCCCCACCCCAAACACCCTTGATAGAAGACTATTTCAAAGGCACTGTGACGTTTTCCTTTCTGAAGCAACTGCTGAACAATGAATGTAGAAGGGTAACCCTAAAAGCTACCTGTGAACTACATTGCAGGCACGTTTTAACCTCAGAACTCTGCAAGTTCAAGGCTAGCCTGGTCTATGCAGTGAGTTCCAGACCAGCAAAGGATACAGAGTGAGACCCTATTTATCTATTTATTTCTATATTTATTTTGTGTATGAGGAGAGTGAGGACTGGCATTACCACGGTGTGTATGTAGAGGTCTGAGGACAAAACGTCCCTCCACCACATGAGGGCTGGGGATTGAGCACAAGTCCTCAGCCTTAGGGACCAGCACCTTTATCTGCTGAACCTTCTCTCTAGCCCAAAAGTTAGTTTGTTGAAAGGTAACAAGGATATAGTTGTCCTTTGACCATGCAGGCCAGTGAGTACAGAACAGTTTCTTGGATAGCTAAAGGCTCCCCTAAAAGCAGGTATTTTTTTTAATTAATTTATTTTTATTTTATGTGCACTGGTGTTTTGTCTGCATGTATGTCTGTGTGAGGGTGTCAGATCTCCTGGAACTCGTGTTACAGACAGTGGTGAACTGCCACATGGGTGCTGGAAATCGAACCTGGGTCCTCTGGAAGAGCAGCCAGTGCTCTTAACCACTGAGCCATCTATCCAGTCCCTTTTAACAGCTTTTTATTTTCAGATTTGGGTGTGATGTTTTTAAGGAGCATTGAGAGTGAGGTGGAATTTAACACCAACCTCAGGATGAGAATGAATTAGCACAGCACATGGTCTATAGACAAAGAAGAGGTTTGGTACTTCAAACTGTGACCGCAGTGCGGCCGAGTGGCTGGATCTGAAGTTTCAGTCCCTGCTATTCTGTGCCTATCTTTCCAGCTCATCCCATTTTTTCTGCTAAAATTAATTCAATTGGAATTTGCCTCTATCGTTGAAGCGTTTTGATAGAAAACGCCCACAATACAAAAATCGTCCCTTGAGAAAGTGAACTGCCCATTCTTTTATAGGCTACCAGCTTGTTTTTATGTACTTTATACACTGACCACCTGCGCTGGCTCGTCTTGACACAGGCTAGACTTATCTGAAAGGAGGGAACCTCAATTGAGAAAATGCCTCCATAAGATCAGGCTGCTGGCAAGTGTACAGGGCATTTTTTTAATTAGTGATTTGTGGAGGAGGGCCCAGCCCCTTGGGGGTGGTGTCATCCCTGGGCTGGTGGTCCTGGGTTCTATAAGAAAGCAGGCTGAGCAAGCCATGATGAGCAAGCCAGTAAGCAGCACTCCTCCATGGCCTCTGCCTTAGCTCCTGCCTCCAGGTTCCTGCCCTGTTTGAGTTCCTGTCCTGGCTTCCTTCAGTGATGAACAGTGATGTGAAAGTGTAAGCAAAATAAACTCTTTTCTCCTCAAGTTGCTTTGGCCGTGGTGTTGTGTCACAGCAATGGTCACCCTAAGACACAACGTTAACAGACTGGCTTCTCTGCCATAAGTGATAAAATAGGAAGGCAAATCCCCTCCAACGATAGGTGTGACAGAGACCATGAGATCATGGTTAGCCTTGGCTGGAGACCCAGTAAAGGACTCGGAACCCTAGTTCTAAACTCTCACTGTGTCCAACACTTAAGCTAATTTCTCGTTCATATGGCCAATCCTAAAGCTACAAGTGGGAAATGTAACCTGTGTAGATCCGAACAAACCACTTTCTCACAGTTAAGTGTTGCCGACTGAAAAGGAAGACTGATTAAAACCTTAACAGGAACAAAAAGAATGTAAATGGGAAGGAGTGGAAATATACACACCGTTAATGTTACCCTCCACCATCCTTCTCTATCAAGAGTTGAACTCTTCCGGATCTGTTTCTATGAGCAAACACAAAATCTGCTTATTTGTTTAGAAGGTGATCTCTTGAAACTATATATGATGTATAAAATATTTACTTGAAGAAACTAAATTGCCTCTACCAAACCTATTTATTAGCTATCATGAAAATGAAAGATACATAATGATATATTTCGCCCATACTATTTCCTTAAAGTGTTAAGCTAGCAAGTGATTTTAAGTATCTAAAAATCCCTTTGGTGAAATTAAAATAAGCATCCTTGAAGCATGATCCTAATTAATCTTAATCAATAAAAACCCAGAGTCAAATATTAGGGTGAAAGCTGAAAGATCAGAGAAGCAGAGCAGCAGCCACTAGAGACTTCTTACCTCTAGAAATCCTCAGACCAAATTGGGAGGGAGTGAGATCCTGTCTCCACCCACTTTATATTCCTGTCTCCACTTCCAAAGTGCTGGGATCAAAAGCATGAGCCTCCCATGTACTGGGATCAAAGATGTGAGCCTCTCAACTGCTGGGATTAAAGGCTTATACCACCACCGCCTGGCCTCTATGGTTAACTAGTGGCTAGCTCCACCCTCTGATCTCCAGGCAAGCTTTATTTGTTAGAACATAAACAAAATATCATACATTTCCCCTTTTTTGTCCAAATAAAAAGTGAAGGTTTTAGCTAACATAGAAAAACTATATACAATAAATACAATAACTATATACAAATATATACAGGCAATAATTACATTAACAATGTCTAGTCCATTAGCATTTGACAAATTCAGAGAAAATTCTCCATTATCTATCCTATCTTGGTGAGTCCAAAGTGTTATATCTAATTCACTTTCTGTTCTAATTTGTATTACTAGCCCAAAACTATCTTTTATATCTCTCAACCATATACACTTTATACCACTTTTATGAGTTTCTGTTCTGAATCTGGTAACAAGAAAAACTGTAACTATAATTATCTGGTCTTCAACTCCATCAAAGATCTGAAAAGGATATATTACCTGAGTAAACAGGAAGTGCAGAGCAAACAACTTCCAAAAATAAGAAGTGACAGAAACACCTGGCTTGCCTGGACAGTCACCCAAGGTTCCTCTGCAACATTGAGGCATCCATCTTCAGCCTACAGATCTGGAATATCTGATAGACTTTTCTGTGAAGCAGGATTTTTGAAAGACTATCCTGCCTTGTCTTAGCAAAGTTCAGCAGTCACTTTCTTTTCTATTCTGCTTGTCCAATTTGGACAGCATACTGTCAGCAGTTGAGGCAAGGGCAGTTTCTTGCTCAGTGGCTAACTTTTGCCACAAAAAAGTAAACTCCATATGGCATTTCTTCAGTGCCCGTCATCTTCTCTCAAGTAGATTGGTGCTGCCAGGAGCAGATATGTCTCATTGTCATAAAAAAAAAAAAAAACACCAAAAACTTACATTATTAAAACATCTTAAATGAGCTGGGCATGGTGGCACATACCTTTAATCCCAGCATTTGAGAGGCAGAGGCAGGCAGATCTTGGAGTCTGAGGCCAGCCTGGTCTACAGAGCGAGTTCTAGGACAGGCTCCAAAGCTACACAGAGGGCAAAAAAACCAAAAACCTTAAACGCCATATTCTGTAGATCTCTGAAGTGTTTGAAGACCACTTGCCTATCTAAAATATATGTTTGACCTTGAAAACAAACCTAACATGACTACAAGTTTGATTGTAATAGGTGACTACTAACCTATATTTCTTTATTGTCCTAAATAGTTTATAATAATAACTTCCAAGCACTAGAAATTTATATTGCATTGTTAGATGGGCTGTATAGGTACAATACCTTGAACAAGAGTAGAAATGTATGTACAGTATGTTCTAACCAAAATAACCTTAAGTTTGTATCAATATATAAAAATCCATATCAATGTAAAATATGTAAAACTAAGTAGCTGCTCTTTTGGTTTAAAAGTAGATTCAATAATCTACCTTTTTATCCTCTCATTTCTATAACAGGATACAGTACAACAAAAATAACCTCAAATTTGTATCAGTATACAAAAATCCAAGCCAATGTAGAATATTTAAAACTAGTAGTTGCTTTTTGAAAGTAGATTCAATAATCTACCCTTTTATCCTATTCCTGTATTCCCCTTATTTTTAAAATGAGATCTCTGAATCTAATCTCCTTTCTTCAGCTTTTTTTCCTGACCATCACCAATAACAACTTGTAACCAACCCCCCCCTAAATAATAACAAACATCCATAACCCACTGAACAACCAAAAACCACCCACCCCACCTCTTGAGAATGTGAATGTAGTGTTCTTAAGATTACTTCCTGCTGTCCGGGGGCGACGGCATCTTTAGGGGGCCCTGAAAGAAGTATTTGGGATTACTGTCAAGTCCTGAGAGAGCTAGCTTTACTGTTTGTTGTCCCATCTCTATGTCATGGGAAAGTGCACGGCTTGTCTCAAGTCCTGGCTAGGGTAGTCTCTGGGGCTGGATCATCCCAGCTAGCCACTTTGAAATTGTCCTGAGCAGTTCATAGTCCAAAGTCGATCTTTAGGTGGTGTTTGTCAGCTTAGTTGTGTTACCATAGTCCATGTGGAATCATCATTGTGGGGGCCCATCATCTTTTTGGAGACTTCAGAGATTGCATTAAGTTGGATTATTCCTTTTCTTCATAATTTTTTTTTCCAGGAAGTTCTCCCTTCTTCTTTGGATGTTTATTTGTCCAAAGGTCTTTAAATTCCTCGAGATGGTTGTTTTTATTTTTCTGGAAAGACAAAAACAAAACCCTGCCCCAACCCTAACTTTGGGGAGTTTCCCTTTTGGCAAGTTATATCTGATCAAATGAAAAGCATTTGCTAGTCTTATAAGTTAAATTATATTGAGTGGTCATGCTGGTTGATGAACTATCACCTCTTCTAATCAAGAGGTCTCTCTTGTTCTGGTTTCTCCTGAAATTTTTGTTTTATCTTCTAAAGCTGTTCTGTCATCCAGAGCAGTACGGTTTTTTACAATAGGCAATAGGTCTTTTAATTGCTCTGGGTAGGAGTTTCCCCCACAGTGACAGGGAATAACTGAACCAAATTTGACATGGGGTCTGCAAGAGCCCCCCCCCACCCCCACCCCCCGCTCGTTGTTTCCCAATGGCAAAGGGTTACCATGTCTATCCCTTGTTGATCTGCATTCATTGGTCCATTGTTGGCCTTTGCCACACCTTCTGCATAATCCAGAAGGGAGGGACCTTCTTTTGGATTATTTCTAGAAAAAACACTATTTCTAGGAACTCCCCGTCTACAGTCCCTTTAGAGGTGACCTTGTTTGCCACAATGAAAACACTTGACATTTTTATTTTCCTTCAAGCCTCTGGAAATCACCTCTTCTATCCAAGCATCATCATGGTTATAAAATTTAATACTGACTGTATCTCAGGTCCATTTCTCTATAGGTGCTAATCTTGCCTTTAAAGGCCTAATTACCCTTTTGTATTGAAAATTAGCATTTTCAAAAGCCAAAGATTTAATTATTACTTATCTAGCTTCTGAATTTGGTATCATTCTATTTACAGCTGGAGACAGCCTTTGTAAAAAATCAGTGAAGGTTTCTTTTGGGCCCTGTGTAACTTTTGTAAATGACTTAGTTCTCTGACTTCTTCAATTCTGTCCCAAGATTCAAAACTGCTATATGGCATAGAGCCAGGGTGTGGTCATCATATAGAGACTGTCTTTCTATATCAGCATAATCTCCCTCTCCAAGAAGTTGGTCTTGGGAGATTTCAATACCTCTAGCCCTACACTTCAGTGTTCAATGGTCTTAGCCTCATATTTCCCCTATGTCCTCCACTGTAATTGAGGACCAGGTTCCAATACTGCTGTAACCAAGTCTTTCCAGTCTTGTGGGATATTTCTGTTACTAATTGACCATAATTTAACATCTGCTTCACAAAAGGTGAATGTATACCATATGAGACTATCACTTCCTTAAATCTCCTCAAATCTAACATTTCCACAGGAACCCTGTCAGCTCTTTCATGGACTTGGGGGTATCTGTCATTTGGCAGTTGTTCCTGTAAGGTGACTAGTTAAATTAAGGTTAGCTGTTTGAAAACCTTGGGCTGTTCCTCTCTAATCTTATAATGTAATAAGTTTGGTTCTCCTTTAAATTTCTCTGTCAGGGTCTGAATACCTCTATGATCTGTTTTAGTAAGTTCTTCTAAAACCTGTATCTTGGCACTCATATCAACCAACATTTTTAGAGATAAACCAAGAATTATCAAAGGGAATAAGAATTATCAAAATGGTAACTAACATTATGTCAATCCCTGTTAAGTTGATTACTCCAGCAGTGGTGGTGCACACCTTTAATCCCAGCACTTGGGAAGCAGAGGCAGGTAGATCTCTCTGAGTCTAAGGCCAGCCTGGTCTACAGAGCGAGCTCCAGGACAGGCTCCAAAACTACACAGAGAAACCCTGTCTCAAAAAAACAAAACAAAACAAAAAGTTCATTACCCTTTCATTTAATTGTTCCATTTTTAAACCATCCATTGTGTAATCATACAGAGACCTAACTCTCTCCACTGTAATAGTGTTTCCTATTTTTAACATGGGGGAAAAACTCTCACTTTTTTAAAAAAACTAATCCCCCCCTTTAAGAATTCCCAGTTGTCTCACCAAATCTGCTGATGATGACAGTGAAGTGTGAGGCTGACTGCTGCTGCATAGAACAGTAGAAGCTGAGTGGGTGTAAGGCACCCAAGTGTGGCAGCAGCCCAAGGAGGGGTTCAGGGAAAACCCATGACCCACAGGGGCAGAAAAGCCGAAGAGCCAGCCATCTGCATGGCGGGGGGAGGTAGGCCTGTGAAAGCAGCTAACTCCAGAGGCATTTGGGGTCCAAATGCCTGTGGCATTGGCTGTAAAGAGGCTGAAACAGAAAAATCCCGAACTCGCTCAGAGGACTTGGAGAAAAAAGGAAAACCTAGCCGGTGAGGTTGTGACTCTGGTGGGAGTCCCTGCATGCAGCTCCGATGCGTACTAGTAGCTACAAAGCCATGGGCAAGCAATTTTTTCGTAATTCATGCCCCCACATTGGGCACCAGATGAAGTGTGATCCTAATTAGTCTTAATCAATAAAAACCTGGAGTTAGATATTAGAGTGAAAGCTGAAAGATCAGAGAAGCAGAGCAGCAGCCACTAGAGACTTCTTACTTCTACAGAACCTCAGACCAAATAGGGGGGTGGTGAGATCCTGTCTCCACCTCCTTATATTCCTGCTTCTACCTCTGGAGTGCTGGGGTCAAAGGCGTGAGCCTCCCAAGTGCTGGGATTAAAAGCTTGTGCCACCACTGCCTGACTTCTAAGGTTAATTAGTGGCTAGCTCCACCCTCTGATCTCCAGGCAAGCTTTATTTGTCAGAACACAAACAAAATATCGAACAATTCCTATCTCACAGAGATGTTCTAAGAACAATAAATGTGACAAAATTTGATGTTAGGCCACAGCTCCTTTGCCCAGTGAGAAATCCACATGAGAAAGTTGTTCAACTAATCTTCATGTATTGTACTTTCTCACAGAAGTATAAAAATATGAACTAGCTGCATGTGGAGGGGTGGTGGTGCATCCTCCTAGGCCAGCCTGGTCTGCGTAGTGAGCTCCAGGCCAGCCAGGGGGTTACATAATGAGACCCTGTCTCGAGAAGTGGGGAACAGGAAAGGAAGACACATCCACAACCACACTTACCAAATCATTGCTTGAGAAATGGTAGATTTTATTTTTAGTATCTCATCGGCCAAGTTAAGAAGCAGATGGTTTGGGCATGCCTCAGTTTCCAGTGGGGTTCTTGTCTCCACAGCAAGCACTCTGTGTGCTTATGATGCGTCCACATCTGCTTCAGCCCCAGTGTCCACAGAACCCAGCTGTTGAATTTTTCCTATTGTGCTACTGCAAATCATTAAAATATCAAACTCGCCGGGCGGTGGTGGCGCACGCCTTTAATCCCAGCACTCGGGAGGCAGAGGCAGGCGGATCTCTGTGAGTTCGAGGCCAGCCTGGTCTACGGCGCGAGATCCAGGAAAGGCGCAAAGCTACACAGAGAAACCCTGTCTCGAAAAACCAAAAAAAAAAAAAAAAAAAAAAAAAAAAAAAAATCAAACTCTTTGTTTGTAATATTGATTATGAAATAAGGATTATCTCAGCCAAGAATGGACTAAAATGAATAATTGGTAAACATAATGGACGTAATTCACTCTCTTCTGATTGCAACAACTTCACAAGCTCTATAGTGCTCCAGTGAGACATGTACATTTCTCCAGAAGACAAAAGAATTCCCGTGGTTTGATATGCCATGCTATGCATCCGAACCAACCTCTTTCCATCCAGCACGCTCTTTATTAAATTCCTGTTGACTTTTCAGTTGCTCATTTTGCACTTGGAAAATGTTCTCAAGCAGGTCAAGACAGGTTTCTCACATCTCCCTCCAAAGCAGAGAAGTGGGGTGGGCTGGTTAGGAGGGGGAAACAGGACTAGTCCAGAAGACAGGAGCTGTCCGTGTGGCTCAGGCAAGTGATCTATACTCCGAACATCTGTCGTTTTAAATTCACTTTAAAGGAGAAGATAAATGATAGGCTAAACACCCTCACCCAAATTTATTTTTAAAAGTACTCAACTAGGAAGCAGGGCAGAGGACGTCTGGCAGAATTGCCAACAGTTCCTTCTTTAACAGAAGGAGAAAGGGCAGGAAATCTAATCGCTCTACTGAAGCAAGTAGTTGTGGGGGGAAATACAAAAGAAAAAGGAAAAGAAAGATGGAGAGAGAAGGTAAGGCAGAAAAAAGAAATCAAATAAAACGAAGGAAATCAGGTGCGGGCGTAGGGATGCGGAAAAGGCACCGGGGCTCCGTGAGATGAGGCTGCGGGGGGCCGCAAGGGGCGGGCTACCCTACCGAGGTCGAGACGAGCGGCTCTCCACGCCCCAGGTCTTCTCTTGGTACTGCGGAGGGGTTGATGGCGATGGCTGGCTCGTCCATTGCGACCTCCTCTCTCCCCCGGTCCGGGCTGGCAGCCGGTTGCTAGGAGCCCCGGCCACCCGCCGGTTCCGCGCCTGTGCTAGGAGCCCCGGCCACCCGCCGATTCTGAGCTTGCGCGTGTAAAAGACCAGTGCCAAGTCCTGCAGGTCACCTCCACGGGTGAGGACAGGGAAGTGATGCCCCGTGCAGGCCTCAGCCAAGCTGACTCAGTGGACATCCTTAGAGACCGTCACGTGTGCGTGTGTCATAAAGTATAGGGGACTGTGAAGTTGCCCGAGTTCTTGGGTATCAGTGTGTATATAGGCAGGCTTGCCCGCATCTGATGGTACCCACAATTTCTACCATTCCCTCACAAATTACCCCCAATCCTACATCCTAGAGAGGGAAACGGGTAGGCGCCTTTAGCTTTAAGGTGTTCTTCCTTAACATCCACTTCCGGGGTGAGGTGGGGGGCCACCCGGAACACTAGCTGTGAGAGCAGACCACCCATCTCTTCCGTAGGCCCTTTGCCCTCTGGGCCTCTCTTGGCTGTAGCTTCTCAACCTAGAAAGATTGTTTTTAAAAACGGCGTTTTCAACCTTGATTCCTTCTGTGGAGGACCTACTGTGTTCCAAGGACTCCACATACATTTCAGGTAACCCTCACAGCAGCAGCGCCGCAGCGCCCGTGCTAATTAGTTCCATCTGGAGAATGAGGTTCCTTAGTGACACCATCACACTGTCGCTGAAGAGTTCAAATCCCGGTCTGGCTGCAACGCTCGGCTGCCCTCAACAGCACGAGGTTTCGGTTTCCCATCTCCAACTTTCCATTGTTTCCTAAAACTCACCTCAATGTGGGCTTGGAGAATCAGCTCCACAGCTAAGGGCACTAGCTGCTTTCCCAAAGAACCCGAGTCCAGAGCACTAGCTGCTTTTCCAGAGAACCGGAGTCCGATTCCCAACCCTCACATGGTAGCTCACAACCATCCAGTAACTCCAATTCCAGATCTGACGCCCTCTGAACCCTGCAGGCACCAGGCACACGCATGGTACCTACACATACATGCAGGGAAAACACTTATACACAGAAAACAAACTGATCTAAAATATATATATATATATAGTCTCAGGGCCGGGGGCTCTGATGGGAGAAAAATAGTGCCCGAGGCTGCCAAGCCTGATGGTCTGAGTTTGATATCCCTGGGACCCACATGGTGGGCAGAGAACTGACTCTCAGAAGTTGTCCTAGGATCTCTACTTAAGTGCTGGGCTGCAGCACATGCACGCACACAGAATAACACAAAAACAAAATCGGAACACAAGAACTAAACTATTCATAGGAGTGGTTTACCAATTTATCTTAACAGTGGGACCTTTCAAAAATTGATGTTCGCGGCTGGAGAGACTGCTCAGTGCTCTTTCAGAGGACTTCGGTTCAATTCCCAGCACCCACGTGGTAGCTCACAACTGTAACTCCAGTTCTAGGGGATGTGGCTTCCCTGGGCACCAGGCAAACACATAGTGCACAGACATACACGGAGACAAAACACCCATATACAAAAAAGAAATTTTAAAAACGGATGTTCTTGAATGAAGCATCTTGTGATTTTAAAATGAAAATTGATTTCAATCCCAGGACAGGAACTAAGAAAAACTCGGCCAGTTTTAAGATTTGCTTTTGTGTGTGTGTGTGTGTGTGTGTGTGTGTGTGTGTGTGTGTGTGTGTGTGTGACATTGTGTCCACGGCACATGTGAGGACCTTTGTGACATCCAGTCTCCTTCCATTGACACGTGGGTTCTGGGATCTAGCTCAGCAGGTTGGTACGTTTTACCTGCTGCGCAGCAGGCCAGCCCCAGCTCCCCTGGAACCGTGCTGGGGACCTGGAGAAACCAGGATTTCATCTAGTTTCTCCAAATCCCTGGGATTCTTCTTTCAGTCTCCTGCAGCCCAGGCCTCCACTTCTCCAAGTGCCAAGGTTATAGACATTCACTACCACACTTGGCTTCAATGTACTATTTTTAAAAGTACCAGAAACCAAGTTTAAAAATGACTGGAGATTGCATGGTTAACATGGAAATAAATATAACAGGTTAATCAAGTCCACCCCGTGTTCATTTCGTTTTCTTATTTCGGCTGAGGCTGTAAAACTGGCTCAGTAGACTAGGGACTGGGACCCTAGAGACCGAAGAATATGAAGAAGGTACAGAGAAGTCCAGAAACCCACACAAGGTGTCAGAGTGAGAAGGGAACCTTCCGAGGGAACAGTGGCTTACCTCAAAAATAGAAACGCCATGGGTCAATAACTTCAAGGACTTTTACCAATAAAACACACGGAACATAGCTAAGAAAATATATATGGCCGGGGCTGGGCCCAAGTCCACTTGCAGAGTTCTTGGCTAGCATGCATCCATCGGTCCTGACGTTACCTCCAGCATCACATGACTGGGGGACATCCTAGCGCATGGGAGGTAGACAAGAGAATGAGGGACTTCAGGAGAAGTTGGAAGAGTTAGAGGCCTGGGACATAGGAGTCAGTCTGAAAAGGAAAAACAGAACCAGCCAAAGGCACCGCCATTGTACACAGGGCCATGAGGAGTTCTTTTCTGGTTAACACTAAGTTTTAAGACAGAACCACAAGATGTTTAATGCTCTTTTCCTAAAATTTCTTGGGAAAATACAGTACTTCCCAATGATAAACTTCATCTCTGAAGGCTGAAGAGTTTGACTCCAAATTATGCCAAATACCTCAGAATGCTTTGAAAGTAACTTTAAAAACCTAAAATGTATACACAATTAAAAATATAGCTGGGCAGTGGTGGCACACGCCTTTAATCCCAGCACTCGGGAGGCAGAGGCAGAGGCAGAGGCAGAGGCAGGCAAATCTCTGTGAGTTCGAGGCCAGCCTGGGCTACAGAGTAAGTTCCAGGAAAGGCTCCAAAGCTACACAGAGAAACCCTGTCTTGAAAAACCATACAATATATGTATTAGAAAGTTTAGGGTTGTTAATCCAATACAACCAGTTTCCTCTTTTTCAGTTATACTACCCAAATTTAAACTAATCTCCCATGGCAGCTTTAAAAAAAACCAATTACTAAAAATTGTCACTCAATGGACGTAAGAATCTCAAATTGAAAACTCACTACCATAAATGGTTAAACAACATTCTGACACAAACATGATTTCCCAAACCTGAGAGTCGGCTCAGCTATTAAGAGCACTTGCTGCTCTTGCAGATGACCCAGGTTCGTTTCCCAGCACCCACATGGCAGTTAACTGTTCAGTTCCAGACCTGACACCCCCTTCTGGCCTCCACAGGTATTGCATGCACATGATGCACATACACTCATGTAATTCTTTTTTTTTTAAAGTGCTTTACTGGCCGGGCGGTGGTGGCGCACGCCTTTAATCCCAGCACTCGGGAGGCAGAGCCAGGCGGATCTCTGTGAGTTCGAGGCCAGCCTGGGCTACCAAGTGAGTAGTGAGTCCCAGGAAAGGCGCAAAGCTACACAGAGAAACCCTGTCTCGAAAAACAAAAAAAACAAAAAAAAAAAAAAAGTGCTTTACTGGCAGAAATCTGAGAGCAAACACCCTACAAATATTAAAGAATTTACTACCATACTCCTGCTAAACTAAAACCAGTAACATGGTAGAGACTTGGAGATAGTTTAAAATCATAGCCCTGAGTTCAAATATGATCACTTACAACGTACTTCCAAAGATTTGAACAGCTGTGATGACAGAAATTATCTGCTCTATACTTTACCTCCTTTATGTCTTCTGCAGTCTATGACTACAGAAAACTAAAACTATTAAAAACTGACACAAGCGGGCTGGACATGTAGCTCAGTGGCCTTGATTCCCAGTCCTGGGGAAAGAAAACACCAGACATGGTGGCGCACACCTGCACTTCCAGCACTGGGAAGGCAAAGGCTGGACTGCTGCCAAGTTTGGGTCCAGCTAGCATGTGTACACACACACACACACACACACACACACACACACACACAACCACACACGGTATTCTCCCTTTAACAGTATTCTTGGTTATCTTGTATTAAAATTTGACTTCCAGATTGTTACCTGGAGAAATACCATGATTAATTGCCCGTTCTCATTTTCCAGCAGCCCCTGGTTTACCATGGTATCACTGGCTGGGCACTTTGGCCAAAAGGCTAGAGACTATGCTCGAAGTCACCATTTCACTGGCCATTTCCCAAAGGTTAGAAACCGTGATGGTGTCTTACAGGTTAACTGTGGCTCTGATAATGGACCTGAAAATCATTCAGTGGTGTCAACACAACAGCCACAGATCGTGAAAGCCGTCTAACACCTCAGAAAGAAATGTTCCAGCCAGAAATGCTGCTTAGGAGCCTTTAGAACTCTACCACCGATGGGCGGGCCTCAGAAGTGGACACCTAGTTCTACAAAGCTCTCCCGAGGACTAGGCCCAGCAGTCAGCAGTGTCTACACTTCCCTCCCTCCTCTATATCATGAGGGAGTCACCCACTGTGTAAAGAGCTGACCCACTCTCTGGGGCAGTCCCGAAACTTGTGGGCCACAATAGGCACGTAACAACTATGTTTCAAAGTCTTTGCTCTGGTTTGCTATGGAATTAAGTATTTAAAGGCAGTTAGAACAAGAAAACCCTTGATAACCATATCTTGATCTTAAATAACAGAGAAAGCAATGGGAGAAGCAAACAAAACCTCAAACACGGCTCAGTTAACTGCTTATCTTAGACCCCTTCAGTAGAACATGTTGCAAGCAGATAAGCAAGCCCAGCTGAAATTCCTAAATTAAAAGAGCACACTGACAAACTGAGACAAAGGTACGTCACAGTATCCTTCCACTATTTAAAAGACAGGAAGGAAGCAAGGCTGAAAAGTTAGTTGGTCCAGAAGTTAAGAGCACTTGTTGCTATCTCTTGCAGAGGGCCCAGGTTTGGTTCCCAGCACCCACATGGTGGTGCACAACCATCTGTGACTCCAGTTCTGGGGGTCTGGTGCCCTCTTCTGACTGCTGAGGGCACTAGGCACACATGGTACACATACGTACAGGCAACACACACACACAAATCCAAAATTTTTAAATTAAAAAAAGATGGTAAACACTAAATGTGTGCGGATGCCAATTCCTTACAAAGGGTTCATTTATGAAAGGGTTTCCTTTTTTTCTTCTTGGAAACACTCTGTAGAGTCTGGGCTGGCCTGGAACTCACTCTGTAGACTGTAGAACTGAGAAACACACCTGCCTCTTGCCTCCCAAGTGCTGGGATTAAAGGGGTGCCCCACCACGCCAGGCCACAATCTTCCTAAGAGCAAGACAGGAAGTTCCCAACAGGAGTCCATCTCCAAAGACCACAGCTCAATCACACCAAGGAGAAAGGAATTCCACGCTGTCCCAGAATTATCACACCAATAGGTATTAAATCACTCAGATTCAGAGCAACAATTGGGTAAATTGTAATTTTTTTATTGGAAAACAAATATACAACTTGGAATGGATTTGAGGCAAATTGTGCCATAAGCAGATTTTCTTTAAGTGGCTAAACAAAGTTTAAAAAGCAAGTAACAATAAAAGAAAATGTTTCTGGTACAACACCAGCAGTACAAAAAAAGAGTGTACGAGTACCTGGATAAAACACCCGTTTTGCAGTAGTGCAACTTGAAGTACACATTGTTGACTGTCCACAGTCCACGCTTCAACAACAACATGCTGACAGTTCCTACAACGACTTTAAAAGGCAAAACCCAGATGTTCCCTCACTTGACCAACTCCATCTAAGTTCAGATGTGCACAAGGGCTTGGATATATCCAGAGTAAGCCACATGCAACATGTTACTTGTTTTCTAAAAGAAGGTTTAAGGACAATGACAGAAGATAAGGGAAGAAAACATGGAGGAATGAAGTCCTAATTACTATACATGCATATTCTTCTGACAGTAGGGGAACCTTTTACAGATAAGTTACAAACAAAGAAAGGCAAATAAACAATTTTGTACAAGAAATTTAACACATTCTGTACAATGTCTTCACTTTGCTGTCATCATTTGTACAAACTCTGAAAAAATAAGAAACACAGAGTTATGAGTCAATGGCAAAAGGACAAAAGCAATCGTAACTCTAAACTGCATTTTCTATTCCTTTTCTGGAATTACACAGTAACAGGAGGGCCAGTTTATGGCCCAAGTTGGAACTTCAGAAATCACTGTATTTGGGATCCTTAAACACGAGCCAATTAATGCTATGGATATAGCTCACTGGTGGAATGCTTGCTTAGAATGTGCAGGCCCAGACAGAGCTCATCACCAGCAACAGGATGGGAAAGCAATCTTGGCTGAGTTTAGACTTGAATTTGGTATCTGCTGGGTTAGCAGTCAATATTGTACCTTCAGTGTGGCAACTATTTAACTTCTATAAGGCTAAATTTACAACTGTTATGTCAGGAAAAATACAAGTGAAAAGTAAAAGGCAAAGATTAACTCCCTAGAGTCTTCCACGTCTAAAGCCATACTTGCTGCAATAGGCATCCTCAAGTTCTGAGTAGTCTAGGACACTTTTGAATTCAGTCTCAGACAAGAGTCAGAAAGCAAGCCAGAACCCAGTCAGACACAAGTCTACTTTACCCATCGCCTTCTACAGAAACTGTACAGTTCCACTCAAATGTTAATCCCTTATTAAAATGTCCATTTGCTAGGTGCAGGTGCAGAAATGACATTC